GCATGCCCATTTGCTTGCCCCTCCTCTCTTGAACCAATCCACATACAACCTGCTTGGAAAGGAAGCAGAAGCCAAGGGTTCCACATTGATATCCTTGCTTTCCATCCTTGGCAGGGATGGTGAGGAGAAACTATACTACAAGCCCTCCTCCTGCAGTGTGTGTGTGTGTGTGTGTGTGTTGCAGTGCTCCCCCACCCCATCCCGTACAAGGGCCTTGGAAACAACCCCCAAATGCAAAAACCACTCTACCCATGTGATTCACAGAAGCTGGCATTCCGAAGCAAACTGACTCCAGCAGCCGGATTCAGTCTGTCTTCCCCCTCTGGCCATTACAAGTTGGAAGTGGTAATCCCAACCAATCTGATGCTGGAAAGGCAAAACCTTTCCATCTGTCAATCACCCAAGTCAAGCATAGCCACTGCAATGCCTTCCAGGTGTTTTGGACTCGCCTTTCTCCTCCTGCCTTATTTTCTTAATGAGCCTCTAAAAATAGGGGAGGCATTATATAAATAATCTTAACAAGCAGCTGCTACTAGCCTTATCCTAGCTGTGAATTTGTCCCGATCCCCTTTTAAAGCCACCCAAGGGCAGTATGATAAATAAGCCACCTTGAACCCAAGTCTGGGGGAAAGGCGGGATGTAAAAAATAAATATAATAATGGTGACAACAACAACAATAATAATATAAGAGAGCCCTGCAGCTGGATCTGGTCAAAAGGCCCATCTAGTCCAGTGTCCTGTGCTCCAAGTGGCCACCAGGTGTCCATTATAAGAAACCCACAAGCAGGACCTGAATCTAACATCACCTTTTTTCACCTGTGATTCCCAGCAACTGGTGTTCAGAGGCATATTGCCTCGGACAGAGGGAAAGCATTGCCAGCATGGCTAGTAGCTGTCAATAGCCTTGTCCTCCCATAGGATCATAGAATCATAGAATTTGAGAGCTGGAAGGGACCCCATGGGTCATCTAGTCCAACTCCCTGCAATGCAGGAATCTCAGCTAAATCATCCATGGCAAGTGACCATCCAACCTCTACTTGAAAACCTCCAAGGAAGGAGAGTCTATAGATTTGCCTAATCTTCTTTTCAAACCATCCATGTTGGTTGGCCATCACTGTCTCCTGTGGGAAGTGGATTCCATAGGGCTTCAATGCAGAAAATGTAGTGGGCATGTTCTCTGTTCTTCCAGAGACCAGAAGCTACGGGTGGAAACTGTGGAAGAAGCAGATTTCAGCTGAACGTTAGGAGATGTTAGGAGGTGTTAGAAAATGGAACTGACTCTGCGTCAGGCAGGGATGGGCTTTCCTTCACCGTGGGGTTTGAAGCAGAGGCCAGCCGGCCATCTGACTCTGGGATGCCACCACCGCAAGGTCCTTTCATTCAGCTGCGGATTGATCTAAACGGCCTCGAAGGGTCCCTTTCAGTGATTCTAAGGAGCACTCTGGAGTTGAGAGCATCAACAGCCGGTGAAGCCAACGCCAAGGGTTGGTTTGCACACTTTATCTCTGTGACACACACACACACACACACACACACACACACACATTTCCCAGCTTTCCTCCTAAATGAGGAATGAGCCAGGCTCGAAAAATATGGGTCACACACATGCGCGCGCACACACACAGAGTGTGCTTCAGCAGAATCTCGCGCTGCTGCTTTGCAAGGCGAGGAACTCTCTTGGGGCACAGCGAATGCCTTCTCTAATCGTGCCCTGCAGCTCTGGGTGAGCCTTCAGGGCACTGCAAATGTAGAGCTACTGGCGGCGGAGAAGAAGTTTAGTGAAAGTGGGGGTGCAGCCAGCCACAGAAGACTTGAGCGGGGGGGCGGTGTATGTATGTGTGAGCGGTTTCTAAAGAGAGGTGCTGCGATCGTTCCAACAACCTGCTTCCTTGGGCGTGCTGGCTTGTTTATCTACTGTGCGCAGGCGTTATTGATAATTAATGACGCCTCCGCGCTCATTTCCCAGGCTGTTTTCACACCCGGGTGGGCTCCTCTGATGTCTCAGCAGCCTGCTGCTATGCCATCCATTTTCCTGTCCTAATCCTTTTGGCCACCAGACCTGGCCCAGACTCTCCGCAGACTTGAGAGACCTAGGCTCTGAAGGTGCTTCCTTTTCCGACAGCCGAGAGCTGTTCGCCAGACTTGTCACAAAGGAAGCTGAACCTCTCAGTCCCGCGCAGCCCTCAGCAGATGTCCAAAGTTGGCAGTTTTGGGGAGGAGTGGGCGGGAAAGAAGCACCTTTGACAGCCGAAACGCTGCTAGACCATTTGTTCATCTAGGTCAGTATTGTCTACACTGGCTGTCAGTAGCTCTCTAGCGTTTTGGGCAAGAGGCACTTCCAGCCGTACCTGGAGATGCCAGGGATTGAACCCAGGAGCTTCTTCATGCAAAGCACAAAGCCCTTCCTCAGTTTTATAGGAAGCCGCCATATACTGTGTGGAATTCAACGCCACACTGTTCTGTCTGTGCAAACTTTTCAACTTGTGCAGCAGATGGAACAATACCTCCTCTTTCCTCCCTGTGCTGCTTTGGGGAGTCTACCAAAATGCACACCCTGAGCGAATTTTGGGGAGCGTGGTGGGAAGGGAGCAGAGAAAGCCCCATTCCAGCAGCAGGTCTGTTTGGAGGTTTCCACTGACAAGGTTTCTCAGGTGAGAATCCGGCCCGCTGAGTCAAATCATTGCCTGTCTTAATTCAGAATTGTCCCCACTGATTGGCAGAGGCTCTTAAGAGTTTCAGAGAAGGGACGCCTGCGGGCATTGCTGGAGAAGCCAGGGATTTCAGCAGAAACATTCTTTCAATCCAGGTGCTCTAACCACTGAGCTGCGGCACCTCACCAACCCTAACTAACTCCATCTTGGGTAAGCTGTGGAAACGTCGTGGGGGCACTTTCTTTCCTGCCCACACAACCTCGTATCGGAAGGCTCTGCAGAAAGGCCCCCTCTTTACAGCCTCATAAACCCTCTGCTCCTCCCAGCAGTGACGCAAGAGGTAAAGCAGAACCACTTGATAAATTAAATATTGGAAAAACCACTCTCTCTTCCTTGTCAGCCCCATAAATACTGGGATTGTCGTCTGCCGCTTGCTAGCTTTGGGGGCATCCTGGGGCAAGGATGGGAGATGGTTTCTTTTTCACTCTCTCGCATTGAGAACCAGTTAACTGATTAAAAATGAAAGCATTGTAAATTCTCCCTGCCCCGCTCTCTTCTTCCATTTTCTTTAGTGGTATAATCAGGGCTTAGGTTTGCAGGCTGAGCTTTGGTTTCCTAGGGGTTGTGTGTGTGTGTGTGTGTGTTTACTTTGCCCTAATCGGCTAATTGATTAAATCTGCATATATTCGCATGTGGGGGGAAAATGGTTTGAACAAAAGAACCATTATATCTTTTATTGTTGAAGGATGCACACATGTATCATCTTAGGAGATGCACTCCCTTCTGTATGTATGGTGGGGGGATGACCTATGGCCCCCCAGATCTTGTTGGACTTTGGTGTTCAGGGAGGATGGGAGTTGTGGTTCAACAACACCTGGAGTGCCAGTGGTTTTACACCAGTGGTTCTCAAACCCTGGTGTAAAAGGTAGAGGCTTTTAATTCAATTATTCTGCTCTGCATTGCAGCCCAGATTTGTATAATGACATAAGAAGAGCCTTTCTGGATGAGGCCAGTGGCCCATCTAGTCCAGCATCTTGTTCTCATCGTGGCCGACCAGATGCCTCTGGAAATCTTGACAGCAGGACTGGAACACAAGAGCACTCTTCTCGCTTGCAGTTTCCAGCAACTGGTATTCAGAAGCATTACTGCCTAACCATGGAGGCAGATCAATAGCCATTGATGGCTAGCAGCCATTGATGGCCTTATCCTTAGATTTGTCTAATCCCCTTTGAAAGCCATCCAAGATGGTGGCCATCACTGCCTCCTGCGGGAGTGAGTTCCAGAGTTCAGCAGTGCACTATGTGAAGACTGTAGCTCTCAAGGGCGACAGGCTGAGGTCTTTCCTAGCCCTACCTGAATATGCTGGGGACCAAATCTGGGGCCTTTTGCATGCAAGATATATGTTGGAATACCATCTTTCTGAACCCATGCCTTCCCTGCCAGAACACCTCTGTTCACTGAAGCTCATCCTCTCCCCTCAGCACCACATGAAGCCATCCTCTTAGCCAAACAGAACATTTCTCTCCCGTCAGAGCGGCTGCACTGATCTTCCACATTCTCTTACCACCCCTTTCCCCCCTCAGGAGTTGGAATGATCATGAATATTCTATGAGTGCTCGCAAGATTGCTTAATACAGATTAATGACCTTCTTAGCAGGCTTTAACCACTTCTTTGGGCGCCCACACCACAGTGCTTCGGTCGGGTGCTATATTTTGTGGGCTCCCCCCTCCCCGCGCTCCCCCCCCCCCATCTACACTTCCAAATAACACGTAAAGGGATCTGGAAGTGTTTCTAGTCTGCAGTTTTAATAATTGCCGGAACACTTCAGGGCGATAAAGCTGGAAGTGAAAATGCAGAGTAACGATCGGGACTGTCCTTCAAATCCTGTGGGAGACTGTCGTTATAGTGTTTTCCAAAGTTTAGATGCAGTTGGGCTCAGTTTTTTTCTTCTTCTCGGTTTAAAATTCAAAGCATGCTTCATTCTCAGACTCTAAAAGGTATTCTTGGGATTTCTTGATTGACTCCCAACATGTTGAGTAGGCATCTCATTGCAGTTATTGGATGGGCCAGTCAATACTGCCTCCTGTGGGCCTGGTCTCCCCTTTATCCACCCCCCAGGGCTCAGAAATGGGTCTCTTCCTTCTGGGCACTCAGTCCTTCATTTGGAAATTGCTGCTAATTGCTTCTGTCACAGGCACCTCAGAAGCTGCCAGACCAGACTATTATACAGGCTGAAATATATGTCTGATCTAGGTTGGTGTTGTCTACTCTGACTGGCAGTGGCTCCCTTGGGTTACAGGCAGAGAAGGTGCCTTTTCTGTCACCTAATACCTGGTTCTTTTTTTAGCAGGAGATGCTAGGGATTGAACCTGGGACCTTCTGCATGCAAAGCAGACTCTCTACCACTGAGTTGTGGTCCTTTTCTTAAGACACAGAAACATAGGAATTTGCTTTGTGCAGAGCCCGGCCACAGGTCCATCTAGTTCAGGGTTGTCTTATCTGATGGGAAGCAGCTGTCCGGAATTTCAGATGGGGGATAATTCCCATTCCTACCTTGAGATGCCAGGGATCGAAACCAAGTCCTTCTGCATACAAAGCGGATATTCTCCCACCGATCTGTGGCCCCTTTTTGCGATTTTAATCAAAGGTCTTTTGGTCCATGGGGGATGTTTATCTAAGCTTCCTCATCGCTGTTGCTGTTCCTTTAAAAAAAGAAAAAAGAAGAGGAAAAATCGATTTAATCACATTTATATTTAAATGGCTCAGAACTTCAACAGGGATTGTAGTAATTCCACAGCCTCAGACATTTCTGCAGGCTGGTCTGTGATCAACTAATGCATGGTAATGCAGTCCCGTGAGCTGCTGCTGGGAATCAGGTAGCGTGAATTTTTCTAAGCAATGAAGATCTACACCCCATCAGGACTACACATTTAAAGTACTGTTATACTACTTTAAACAGTCACGACCTCCCCCGAAGTATCTTGGGAACTGTAGTTTGTTAAGGGTGCTGAGAGTTGTTAGGAAACCCCTATTCCCCTTACAGAGCTACAATTCCCAGAGCTTCCTGGGAAGAGGGATTGATCATTAGGCTACTCTGGAAATAGCAACTTTGTGAGGCGAACTGGAGTCTCCTTACAGCACCCTGCAGCCTTAACAAACTACACCTCCCAGGATTTCTTGGGGGAAGCCGTGGCGCTTGAAGTGGCATGATACTTCTTTAAACGGATGATTGTGGTTGTTTGGGGTTGTGTCCCATGCTACTCAGAGCGTAAGGGGTCTGCTTTGAGTAGAACTTAGTTGGAAACAACCCTTGATCATCTGGGTCAGCTCTCTTTAAGGGATCAATGCAGAGGGTTGAATCCAGGCGCAAGGAAAAAGCTATGCAGAAATGTAGTTGATTCCATCCCTGGCATTATCATTCGTAATGCAGAGTTTGTTTTATTGTCCTTGTGTTGGTTTTGTGCCTGAGCTGTTTCGCGTGGGCATCTGCCCAGAAAAGCATAATTTTGTATACTTCAAAGCAGTTAACAAACGGAATAAAACAATAAAATTATCATTAAAAAAAAAAAAGTTGAAAGCTTTAACCCTTAAAACCCCCCGATTAAAAGCAAGAGGCACACAAGGGCAAAAGTGCCTTCTGTCAGGACGGTGACCTGCCCCGGCCAAAGGAGCAGTAGGTGTGTGGGACAGGTGAGTGTCCTGATGAGACAGAGCAGGAGGTGGGAGTGGTTATTTGAGTCAATGCTATCCTAAAGGATTAGGAGCTCAGCCGAGCAGCGGCCAAAACCCTTCTCATCCCACGCCTGCATAAGAAGCGAAGACCTTTCCTTTCCCAAAAGTGCCCTTGAGAGGAGAAATTCCTTTGTGGCAATTGTACTTGTGACTGGAGTTCCTAAGGAGGAAATGCAACAGGCAGGACGGATAGGAGGACCATTTATATTGGGGGGAGGCCCTCCCATGCAGCCTCGAGATGTCCGTTTTCTTCTCCTTGCCAGCATCTTCAGCTCTGATCCTTCTGTTTCCTCCACATTAAGCCTCTCCCAGCTGACCTCCTTCCCCCAGAGGGGAGAGGTCACGCCGGCCCTCTCTGGGGCCTTAAAGAGAGGAGCATCAGCCTGGCTTATCGTCAAAGCCGCGTCTGTCTGAGAGAATTTGTTATGTGGAAAACTGACGCAGGTGGACACAGCAGCCCCGAGGCCTTAGCAAGATGGATTACTGCTGGGGTGGATCAATTTCTTCACTCAAGCTGCTGGAAGTCAGCGGCAGACACTTCAAAAGCCATGTGGATATCTGAGCGTGTGAGTGTGTGTTTGCTAGCTGCCGCTGGGAATACAGAGAAAAAGGGCTGGCGAGCAGCAGAGAAGGAAAAAGGGCCACGGAGCGTCTGCACTCCATTAAACCAGCAGCGGCGGCCGTCCCCCCCCCTTTCCCCTGGCCGTGAATTCACTTGGCAGAACACGACAGATCGCATTCGCCTGTGTCAGAGAAGAAATAGGCTGGGATTAGTCTGCAAAGCCGACGGGAGGAAAATAGATTGATCAGTTTGCATGTTTGATTCTCTCTCTCACACACACTGCTATTTTTTTTATTAAAGTTAGATTTCTTTTTTGTCTTTTGAATAGCCTCCCTCTCAATTGATTGGGTTTTGATCCTTGCTGTCCCCAAAGGAGACGTGCGGAGGAATGGGTCGCCAATCTAATCGGGGTTGCCTTTCCATCAAACTGGGGAGCGGCATAGAAAGGAGCACCATACCCAGTCAGACCATTGCTCCATCTAGCTCAGTATTGTATACCCTGACTGGCAGCAGTCTCTCACAGTCCTACCTGGAGGTGCCATTGGGGATTGACCCTTGAACCGTCTGCAGGCATTACAGGTGCTCTGGCACCAGGCTACAGCCTTCCTCCATTTTGATACTCCATTATCTTGGGATAAAGAGACCTTGAATTCAAACACTTACTTGTTTTACCTCAGGAGCAGGGAACATTTCCCCCACCCACCCCTGAGGGCCGCATCCCCTCCTTCGCAGCCTTGCAGGGGCCGCATGAGTGGTGGGCGGGTTCAGAATCAGAAGTGGGCGGAGTCATGTACCTGACTCCTTTCTTTGTACAGCAGTGGTACCTCGGGTTACAGACGCTTCAGGTTACAGACTCCGCTAACCCAGAAATAGTACCTCGGGCTAAGAACTTTGCTTCAGGATGAGAACAGAAATTGTGCAGCGGCAGCAGGAGGCCCCATTAGCTAAAGTGGTACCTCAGGTTAAGAACAGTTTCAGGTTAAGAACGGACCCCCAGAACAAATTAAGTTCTTAACCCGAGGTACCACTGTATTTTAGCCGCTACAAAATGCAGAGCTTTCTACATTGTTGGGTGAGGATGACAACCTCTAGCCAAATAGGCTAATCTTTGGCCTGTGAGGCCATTTACCCCCCCCCAGCCACACCCACCTTTGAATCCACGAATGACGTCAGCTGACAGGTGGGAGAGCTGGGTTAAACTTCTGCGTTGGCTGAACGCACCTGTTCCCAGCAGGATTTAAGCCCCCGCTCATCAGCTTATGAGTGGGGTGGGCGTGTGTGAAATCCTGCTCGGTTTGCCTGCGTGCCTGTTTCCTGTATGCAGCTATAGCAAGCACCCTGGAGGTTTTTATTTTTGTTAAATGCATCAGCTGTGAGAGGGTCTTCTCCCACACGCAGTCAGTGCTTTCAAAAGGCAAGTCTCTTTCTCCCCATCCCGCGCCAGCTGAGAAGGAGGAGGAGGGGAGAAAGAACCACCCAGCCAACCCTGTGCCCAAAGTGCCAAGCAGAAAACTGGCCAACACGCCTTGCTCTGTGGTTCGCTTGCACTAGCTGTTGGGCACTTGGAAACCCCACACAAGGGATTTTGACAGGTGGGCAAGACAACCCGCCTGCCAATCATACCATGTCGTGATGATGTCATGTGATTGACTGGTGGGCTGGCCAGAAAGGTTCCCCTACTTGTTCTGCACAAGGTATGGCTACTGTTGAAGGACGGATTTCAACCGGGCTGAAAAACAATTTGTAGGGCTGGTGAGGGGTGTGGCCTCCTCTGGGGGTGTGGCCTAAGGAAGAGTTCCAAGGGCCATGTAGAGAGGCCCAGAGGGCCACATTCCCTGCTTTACATGCAGACAGTTCTAGTCTCATGTTTGCAGGAAAGCCATCGAAACAGGCAATGCAAATGTCTTACACCTCCCTGCCATACCTAAATGCTTGAAACTGCTCTCTGCGATGTGCAGAAAAAGCCACGATGAACAGAAATCTTTTTTTAAAGTAGCAGTTGTAGTAGTAGTAGTAATTAGGGCATATCATCTCTGGAGAATGAGGCTTGGAGGAGAGATCCTTCTCCTGGTACAGTATTTATCATCCTCCAGGACCAAAATATTACCAGACATTTTCCAGCATCAGGCACCTTGGTTGTAGCACGAAGGCAGGTGTAAATGTTTAAAGAAATTAATTAATTAGTAAATTTCATGGCTGTTGAGTGGCAGGTCATTTTCAAAGCTTGCAAGCATTATTCAGATGATAGGTTTATCAATAGGTCATCCACAGGCACTCCTTAATTATCGATCTGAACTACCAGTGTTCAGTGTTGACTCCTACAGTCATATCTGATACTAGTCCTACTCCAAATAGACCCATTAAAGCTAATGGAAATGATCAACTTAGGTCCATTAATTCCAGTGAGTCTACTCTACGTAGAACACACAGTATATGGATACAATCCCAGGTGTTATTTGGGAGTAGGGTTACTTTGGGAATCCCCCTCTCCCTAGGAGGCTACCTTTAGTGTCGTTCTCACCACCTGCTCCTCAGCCTTCTTTCTGCTATTAATTTCAAAGGTTTCTACTCTGAGTAAGATTATCATTGGGTACAGCCCTGCCTTTTTCCTTTGCCTGTTACCGTCTCCTCTGTCTGCTGAGGGGGTCCCCTTCTTAATGAAAATATCAGACACTGGATTCTGACAACAAGTGCGTTCTTCATTCAGGTGTTGCTTTCCAACTGTGTAACTTGCAAACTTACCCAGAGTCCTAGCTTGGGAACCTTCCAGAAGTCATGCAAACCTGTCTGTTTGAGCTAATCTTAGGAGCTCTGCGAAGAAAGCCCCTGGGGGAAATTCCAGTGAATTGCTTGAAATTTTGGGCACAGCCACTACCACGCCATTAAAACACTATCATACCACTTTAAACTGTCAAAGCTTCCCCCAAAGAATTCTGGGAGCTGTAGTCTGTTAAGAGTACTGAGAGCTGTTAGGGGACTCTGCCTAGAACTACAATTCCCAGTGCGACTTAACAATCTGCCCTTCCCAGGCCAGGGAACTCTTGGAACTGAGGTATAACTATTATACCACAACATAGAAAGATCTTCTTGCCTGGGAGTCTGCTGTTTCCCAGGATGAAGAAGTC